ATCACATTAAATTCAACACCAATTAAATGAAACAACAGAATGAATGATCCTTCTGAATCTTGAGATTGCATTTGAAGATCATCGAGCACAATTTCACATCGTCACATTTGTGGTGTTGCATTCAAATCTGGTATCGCCTTCGACGGTTCATTCATCTGTTAACTTGGCTCATTTCAGAAATATCAGTTTGCAGTGTTAATACCCACTGTGAGATGAATGATGATCAAAGGAACGCCAACTGATGCATTATTCCATTCGAAAACTATTTGCAGTTTAGATTTTAAATTGTTTTAATGAAAGTATGAGGATTGCATTAGTTAACAGTGGATATTAATTATGATCAAGACGCTTTAATGATTTAGTTACATTCACGTTACGTGATCCAATATTGACAACTCATTGCATACTAAATCGAAAGATGGATCATCTGAACCTGAGATGTGGCAGATTGTGCTTGAATCTCTGGTCCCAATATTTCAGATCCCATTGCCGATTTATCGGATTGATCCAATTGCTTGTTCAACTTCTTTCCAACTGACAACTTTCCAATCACATCTGCCCACATACGTGCCAAACAATACCCGATTCCCAAATCCAAATCCAGCAATAAACTCAGTAACGGTCCTAATATGATAGGTAGCGTTAATGATGATGAGCAATCTGAAACGGTAATGTTCTTCAGACGCACACGTTTAAAAGTCTAGTCTATGAAAAATCTGACCCAAGTCGTGGGAATGGGACGGGACGCTCAGTTCAGTTTCAAACTAAGATCTTCGAATCGACTAGAGGACATCAATGAAGTCGGTGATGCGGCAGCATTAACAACGTCAATATTATGAATATTACCAATCAAAATCTCTAGCGATTCAATTGTTTCGTTGATTTGATGGTTACTCCCTATTTACTTTATCTCATCGATTCTCTCTCATAATTCTTTTGTGATACTATTAACAAATCAGAAATATCAATAATAAAAACACTTTAATCAGCTCTTCATGATGATGATAAAAGTTTATTCGTAAATCGATTCACTTTGATTACAGCAATCGGAATGATTACAATTCGATTCTTCAGTTCAACCTAATCCAGCTATTCAACAAAGAATATTAATAAAATGCGTATTGCTCATGCAGAAACGATAAAGCACATGCATCACAGAAATTCAATGTTCAGCATTGATACAAATGAGGCAATATCAAAAAATAAGAAAATAAATTAATGACCCTATCACTAAGCTACTGCATGACATCAACATTAAGTGAACAAATCAATCATAGCAATAATTATAATCAATTTAGCGGACCATAATCATTACAATACCATGAAATAATAATGACGACATTCTTATCACGAAACATCCAATTGTGGAGGCTTAACATTTTCCAGGTTTGCCCAGTCAACCTCTTCGAAGAAACGATGTTGTTTCACCGCGTCAGCACCGCCCATTTTGATTGAACCCAATCGACTTGCCATGTCGACCACCAATAAACGTTGAATCAAATCACTGGCTTGTGCGGGTATATCTTTTGGTAGATCGTATTGAGCATTCAATATTTTACGATAGATCAAATATTCACTCTCATCATGAAACGCATGTTTACCAGTTAAAAACTGATACATAATAACACCCAATGCCCAATAGTCACAAGCCTGCTCAACAGCTTGACCGTTCAACACCTCTGGACTAACATATTGAGCCGTACCGACGAACGACACCAAACGCTTCCTGAAATTGCAATTTTATTTCACGTTTCATTGGTAACCAACGAAATTCTATTCAACGATATGAACGTTTCTTTGGTGAAACGTCTTCTTTGGTAAAATAACAACGACAGGACTACTGTTTCAATGAATATGTACTAGTGTTGATAAAATACAAATAAGCTTCACCGAGTGAATAAAAATTTCAGCATCGAGCACACTCACCTTCGTCTATGCGATTCGTCAGTTTCTTCTTCCTCCGGTTCGGGTGTTTTCACGCCGAGAATACATGCCGAGCCAAAATCCGATATCAGAATATGTCCACTCTCGGACAAAAGTATGTTTTCAGGTTTGAGATCCCTTCAAATATTCAACATTCGTGCTTCATTCACTTACCAATGTGTTTGGAAATATCGAATGAGTACATTCCAGCAATAACATTATTNTTATGATATATACAGATTACGAAAATGACGTACCTATGAATAATATTGTGTGAATGTATGCACTCAAGTGCTGAAACTATTTCACTCGTATAGAAACGAGTCGTTGGGATATCGAACTTCTTACATTTCTTCAACTTATGAAGCAATTCACCACCCTGAAACAATTGCTACTGATAAGATGAGCATTGTAATTGATAGCGCTATTTGACAGATCATAAGAATAAATCAATACAACTGATAAGAGCACGTGATAAGACTAGGTGCTTTCATAATGTCTACAAAATTATGGTTGAAAATAATAATATTCAGCAAGGAAATTCACACAAATGAAGATACCTTTGCAAGAGTCATAACGATGTAAAGAGACTCGCGATCTTGGAATGTACAATAGATGTTCACAATAAACGGGTGGTAATTCTCTTTTTTCGATAGTATAGCCATTGCCTAGAATTCAATTCAGATAACTCGATTACAGCTATAACAAGTCTCGTTACGATAACAATTTTATTATTGTTAAGATTATATGAAAACACTGCTGATCACTGGGTTTATAAATCAAATAACAACAAAAAATTATTACCTCCCGTTCACGATAGATTTGCTGCACTTTACGCTCGCGAATAATTTGTTTTTTGAAACATTCTTTTACGGCAAACTCTCGATCTGTACTTTTTTCTTTGGCTAAATGTACAGTTGAAAAAGAGCCTTCACCTGAAATTTTCATTATTTTAAAGCAATAATAATACTATCTGTAATTATAGCAAAAATGAAAATAATTAAAACAACAAAAAACAACAGTGACAGCAAGAGAAGAGAACAAACCTAATTCCCTGATGAATGTGAAGTCAGACCTGGATTTGTGCTTGCTCTTATCTTTACCAGCATTTTCAGCAGTAAGATTGTTGGATGAATCCAAAGAAATCATACGATTCAAAGCCGAAGTATCATTATTGGAATGAGAATTTGACAGTGCTTGTTCTGTGCCGTCTTTTTGAGGCGCAACTGAATCTCCCTTCGGGCATTCAGACGACAGATTACTCATCTGTAAGAGGCAACTTTAAAGGTAAAACTATCGGAACATAACAATTAAAATTACAAGATTTAACTCTCAAATCTGTGAGAAAACCAAAACTGTTAAGTTTTTGACGGAATCATTGATAAGAAACAGTGTAATCGTCGTTCTTGAAGTAATCAGACACTAACACAAAGATTTTTAAAATTGGCAAAAAAATGAGAAAAGCCGAACTCTTAGAAGAAATTAAAGGAGACGTTTAAAAATACGACAGAAAAGTTCGAGATTGCCTCTTCCACGAAAAGCGTTTGAGCATTTCTCTTGAGCTATTTGAGAGCGCATGCCACACAGGCAGTGCTAATTTGGCACAACACTAACACATGCTAATGTGAAAGCGACTTATCAGTAACCAGCTTGCTTCGGCTTTTTTCATCGAAGTGAGCGATTGAAAATAGCGTGTGGAATGGAATTTCATTTCGGAATTTTTTCGCCATTGTTGCAAGTTGTATGGATTGATATCGATCAGAAAGCAGTGATCCGTCTAGAGAACTACATTTTGTGTTCAAAAATCAATTGTAAAATCATTAGATGGAAATTGAAATCGTAAAATTGTTCCGATTACAAGAATCAATTGTGCAATTGTTTGATTTATTATGATATAATGATTTGCTTATCCGTTTACTGAAATTATTTTTGTTATGTGCAGATTTTTAAACATCATTAGGTCATAATTGATACTATTATTATTTGATTGATGTTATGAGTAAAATTATGTGTTTGTGATGATCGTTATCATTTCATCGATAATGCCGCCATGATTTCGAGTTAGTGCAGTCATTTTGGCTTGCACAGTTCAGTTTTTTATTCTCCTTCCAGATGGACAAGAATCTGAAGTTACGTTATGCCGAAAGACTGTTCGTGCCGGATGAAAATACTAACAAAAATAATGCCAATTCAATATCAAAATCGATGTTCAAAGGTTACTTTTAATTTTCTGCCTTCCATTTTTATAATGTTTCATTTAGTAAATCAATCAACGTATGATTACATCAAAAATGTATTCTCAATTATTCCATTCTTCGAACTATAGATATTCAGTTTATTTCAATTGGTATGTGTATGTGAAATTCTTGAGTGGATGCATGTTGGTCAGTTTAGGAAAGAATATGGAAAACATCACATTTGTTGAATTTTTTTGTAGATTTATAAATTTCAGACGTACGCCATGTATGTGTGGAACCAGTGAATCCTTCATTGTATCTTGCCACCCAAAATGAAATTGTTCAATTGGATCCGCGTAAAAGGGAGAAGGTTGGGTTCATTTTTAACGTTAAATTTACATTTACAGTTGGTATGTATTTTCACACCTATTATGCCAGTGACGAATCACAAATTCGTGATTCCGATGGCACCAATAATTTCAAAATCCAATCTGCAGACCCAAATGGACTGGGCTGATAAGCTGAATGGTCATGAAGTGATAATGTTTGAATATTTGTATGACGATGCAACCACATTCACACTTCTTTCGAATGGCACGGCAATAGTGAATAATTTTATGAAGGTATTTTTTTTATAAATTTACATTTATGAATGTCGTTATTACGGTTTGATTGTTACGATTTTATTGTTGTTATTATGATTTCCAATGTTATCACAGTATTATTATTGTTAAAGATGATGAATTCATACGAGATGGACACAGTTGAAATAATAAATGAGGAAGTAACTGGTGGCTCATGGTCACCAGACACACACATCTTAGTGGTAACGACTCGGGAAAAAGTTTATTTCGTATCTCGAGAATTTGATATAATCAACGAGGGACCACTGAATCCCACTACTGCTGGTCAAAGTGAGTCTATGATATTGTACTTGAGACATTTATCGTTGTTACAGTTGTATTTATTGCGCTTATTAATTATTACAATTAGCGTTATTATTTTTTAAATCGCTATTACTGCTATTATTATTGTTATTGTTATCGTTTTATATTGTAATTTTGGGATTTGAATTATTCCAAATTCAGGTGAGCTGATGAGTGTTGGATGGGGATCGAGAGAAACTCAGTTCCAAGGACCATCAGGTCGGAAAAAACTTGATGAGGTTACTGCAGTGAAATTTTCGTTGTTGTTATTATTATTGTTATCATTCTTCCATTATTTATAATTTTTGTTGTTGCCATCG